ATTTCCTCATATTTTAAAATATAAAAGTTCATTAAAGAAAACTTATGAATCTTTATTAATTACACTTGATTCTTTAGGCTGAAAAAATACCATTCTTCTAACTAGTACTTTATAATACCTAAACCTACACTAAATTCTCCATATTTAAAAGCATTATACATTTGGCTGACAGAACACCAGAACTGACCAAAAGTCTCATCAGTGTAAGGTAACTTATTACCTACAATGTGCTTTCCTGTTACTTTAGTACAAATTGTTAAAATTCTGTCCTTTATATGTTGTCTGTACTACTTCCAAGTCCCAGATTTTCTGAGATGCTGCTCTTTGCTGTCACTACATAAAGGCTACCGCCAAGAAACTCCTGTACAATTTTTAATTATGTACCCATAATGAACAACTTTTTAAAGTGTCAGAGAAATTTTTTTTAAGTTTGTACTATTCTTCGAGTGCCATACTTTCTTACAGCCACTAGGTGCCACTCTCATTCCTGCCTATAACTCAAATACTGATTTTCTTTCCTACAGGATCACACCAGGCCACCAGCTACTGCAGCTGAATTTTCCTATTTCAAGAGCCATAAGTAGCAAAGACTGTCACCATTTTTGTTGAAAATTTCTGCCCAGTCAGAGGTTTGTCTGCCTGAATTGTTACCAATTTAAGTGAAATACCTGACAGCTGTTTTGTACCCCCAAAGCAGAAGCATCTGAAAAACAGAGCTGACTCAAACAGGTAATACTAGGCAGATCGTTAAATGTTTACTTGACTGTGGTGTTGTTCTCTGTATGAATGTATTCCAGTTAATAGATAAAACAATGTAAATAGAAAAATGTTCAGCCTTTTTAAGACTCAGCGACAAAATTACTTCAGGAACAAAGTCAAAGCCACTGACCAAGTATTTCAACTCCTGCTCCCAAGTAGACATCTGTATTTGGTTTTGAAACAGAAAGAGCAAAAAAAATGCAGAATAAAAACCTAAAGCAATTTAGTAAAAAGAAACAGTGACTGTCTTTCAAGATAAAGAAAGGTTGCTTAGGCAAAAACAAGCTGACAACCCACATGTCTGGACACTGAGCTTCAGTTGAATACACAATTTAGCCTGCTTAAGACACTACTCTTTCTTCAGAGCAGACCTATTTATAATGCCTTCTATGAATATTTCCTTTGGTGTGAAAAGTGATCATGCTTTGGGCTTATTTGCTATCTTCTTTAGTCTTTATAAGAATAGCAGATACTTGAATTCTCTCTGTAGCACTGTGGAAATACAGCTTGGCAGGGTACAGTTGCCCAAGTTCTTATTTAGATGATGACTAATTGCAGAATTCAAGCCTGTGGTAGGAATGTCTGAGCAGGTCTTGGAGATCAGAGAGGGAACTAAGTAAGGCACAGAGAACTAGGCAAGTATACAGTAAACATGAATTTCATTTTAAGACTTAACCATTTCTTGTACAGTGCCAAATGTCAACAAAGTTTTACTCTAACTTGCCTGAGGTTTGTCACATTCATTTTTAGGTTCACAGATGAGTTTTGTGACCTGAGCAAATCGACACAGAAAGAGACATATGGTAGAATCATACTGCCAAGTTAGCTCTAAACATTTGTAACTTCGAGGGTCTCCATTTACCCATTTCTCCACTAAAAACATATTTCTTCAGGTGGGAGAAAGCATGAATTACAATAATTCTCAAGCTACCTGGTAACTCCTAATATTTGGGTACTTGAAAGAGCATTCTTAAAAATAAACAGAGAAACAAACACCAAAACACTAAATCAAACACCCAGTCTCAAAAATACACAAGGACCACACTATTATTAAATCTGTAATTACATGTTCCTTCAATTTGGAAAAACAACTTGAAAACAGCATTATCAGACGGGATATTGGTTCCCAAATCACAAGTTTTCATTCCCACACCAATTACTACCAGAACTGGAAAAGCAAAGCCAACCCCATTTTTTTTACTCCCCTAGTGTAAAAGGTTCTGCAAGCCCCAGTCTGAATGGAATTCAGAGAAGTGGAAATAGTTTCACTATTACATAGTGAAATTATATCTGCCATATTTTCACTAGTACAGTGTTCCACTTCAGCTATTCTTAAATAGTTTCTATCACAAGAGAAACTTGTAATACTTACTCTCCAAATCAGATATGATGAGATTGTCATGAAGTTTCACAGCACGATGCTGCTCTACTTCATCCTCCAACTCAAAGATAGTTTCTTTCATGTCACTTCTCTCAGTCTCTTTTTCATCTAGTTCTGTCCGAAGTTTCTCTAAAGTCACATTGAGATCCTCAATTTGTTTCTTGGCTTCTTCTTGGAACACTCGGTATTCATCTTCAACCTGAAAAAGAACATACCTTACCATAACTAAACTGCTTGCATTTTAAAGCATGCTTTTAGTTTCCTTACTACCACACTTAAAATATATTTCTGCAACCATAAAAAAAAATATGGGACAAGTCAGGTGTAAGCCTTTAGAATGTATTGTTATAGTCCAACAACTCTCCTGACCTAAAGTTAGACTCTTTTATTCTCAAGCTAAATATAGGAGCATTTCCCAGCTCCTCTAAGAGCAGTATCCTGTTTTCAAGTGAAGCAACACCACAGTACCAAGGCTGCGATTTCATGAGCAGCTCATCCAATTTCACATCTAGCTGCCATAGAATGGGAGGAGGCGGAGGGGAAACTCTTTACCTTTTTTTTCTCTTGCCAAAAAAACGGGCCTGGCTGTCTTGTGTGCATCAATTTTAGTACTTGGTGGACCTGTGAGATGATTAATTTCCCTAACCAAGTAGATGTGAGATGTGCTAGTGAGTTGAAGTAGTTCTCAGAGAGGTTTTACAAGCTATCGAACTGAATTAAAAGAAAAAGGAAAAGAGGTAGTACACTTCTCCCTGCCAGGAGCAGCAAGGCTGCCTCACGAAACTGCAACATGAGGCACAAGGAGGGATCAGAGGCACAGTAAATATACAGCAGCAAAAATAGGGTGCCTGAAGAACAAGAGGAATTAGGTCATGGCTTAGGGTGGGTCAATGCAGTCAGGCACCAATTTAATTGTAACAGACAAAATGCCATGCTTTAAATAATCTGTTTGTTTGTTTGTTTTTAATTTTAATAGCACTACTCAACTTTAATAATTAATATGTTGGGTTTTTTTTTTCCTCCTGAGTTAAGGTTGATTCTAACTGGCTGGTGATCATGACTAACGTGGATTTGCATCTACTTCATACTTCAGACATGAAATTTAACATATATTTTCTCATCAGGAAGATACACCCTTAAATGTCTACTTAAATTATTACATAAACTTTATTTTTATTTTTACATTAAATTATGGTAAACAGTTTTACTAGACATATTTAATAGATAAATTAGTTATATCGGAGTCAAAATAGCTACTCTAAAACTAGAAACATACATTTAAATCCAAAACCCAGTCAATACACAAGCTGCTCCTGGATGGATCATCAGTAAAAAACCCATGAGTATCTGCCATATTTAATAACTGTTTAAAAGCTTATAAAAATGTCCAGGGTTTTTTGTTCGTTTGTTTTAAATTCAAAACTAAAATATGTACTCAGTAAATTAATCTGGTAAAATCTTCCATTTACCTCAAAATTAGCAATGCCTTGATTGGAGAAAATATACATTTTTGCTTTATTATTAGTTTAAGTTAACTGAACTTGAATAAACTGAAACTTCAAAATATTTTCTCAGGACATGTGAAAGTCCTACAAGTCATTAAAAGCTGGGTTATCACTCCAGACTTTGACTCCCAGTGTTTTCTCAGTGACGTCCCTCTTCCACCAGTTTGGCACTAACTCCTTGAAATTCTTGCAGAAGGCCTGCAACTTAAACAAAATTCATACAGCATCTTACATTCTGTTTAAGTTTGGCCCTTGAAATAAGTTGTGGGGTTTAAACAGCAATATTTTTTAAATTGACATGACAGTTACCTTGTCCCTGAAGGTATCCATAAGTATTTTTAAAAAGGCTTCTGTCATTTTCATAATAGAAGTTAAGAGTAAGTAACCAGCCCTAACACTACTGCAATCCAACTAACCTCGTAATTCATCCTGTACTTCTGAAACAACTGCAGTGACCAACAGCACGTCATGGTGTACACAGGATGTTAAAATAGAAGTTTGTTTTAAACAGTACCTTAGCAATGGCATCTTGCAGTCGATTGGCATCATTGCGAGTGTGTGCCAGTTCTTCTTGCAGACTACTGGCCAACGTCTCTGCCTTTTCTTTATCCAGCCTGACACTCTCCAGCAAATCCTGTATATCCGATTTATCTCCAGAGTTGTGTATAGAATACAACTCAGCCACTTTCTGCTTCTCATGCTCTAACTGAGCTTTCAGCCTGTTCATCTCAATCTGGTCACTGGCTACTGTGGCTTTGTACTCCTCTAAGGTAGATGCTATGGCTGTTTTGCTTTTCTGCTCTGACTCAATGATCCGTTCCATGTGGTGATTTCGTTCTTTTAATGCCCCTATCATTTCTTGGGCCTCCTTGTTGTCTTGTTCTGCCATCTTCAAAGTGTTGCTCAAGTGCTGCTGAACACCTAACAGCTGCTCTCGCTCGAACCGAGCGTTCTCTGCGAGGTCCATATAACGCTGCTCTAACTCCATGTAGCGACCACTTTTCATATCTTCATCAATTACATAAGAAATATGGTGTTCATCTAAAAGGGACCGAAAATACTCAATCTGACGGCTGAAGTGTTCTAGCTTGTCACTCTGCTGGCACAAAGATTCCATAAGGATTACTTTTTCCTCCCCAAGTCTTTCGTTTTCACTGTTTAGCTCTTGCGTTATTTGCTGCAAATCTGCAAGCTCTTGAAGTGTGGCCTGGAGCTCTTCAGCTGTGCTGTGTTGATTCTCTTCCATTTGATGTATCCGCTCCGTCAGACAAGCTACAGACACTTCACTTGCATTGCCACTGCTTCCCTTCCTAGATCTTTCTATGCTTGGTACACCTTCAGACTCTGAAGATGATGGAGCATCTAAAGCATCATCACTTGATGTCAGTGGCTGATAAACTTCACTGCACTCACTGTCTAAATTATCCATGGAATTACTATGTTGGTTGTCCATCAAAGTGTTTTCATCCTGACTTAACAAGTCTTCCATTGATCCAGGAGCAGAACCTTCCACTGAAGATGTCAGAGTACCACCACCATCACTGTGGCTGCCAGCTGTAATTTCTGGACTCAAAGACTGATAGCCGAAGAGTTTTTCAGAGTTGTCCAGCCTTTGTTCCAAAGAAAAGCCTAAAGCATTTAGTCTGTCTTTTAACATTCGATTCTCATTCTTCAGCTGGTTGAGCTCTTCTCGGATGGCAGTGTTTTGTTCCTGTAACTGTAGCAACGTAGACTCTACATCAGTTGGCTGATGGACAACAATGGCCTCTTTTTCTTCAGATTTTTCATCACCTTCAAGCTGATCTTCGTTAAGTCCCAGCTGAGCACGCATATCCCTCAGCTCATTCCTCAGATGCAAGATTTCCACATCTTTAGTTTTCGCCAGTGTCAGGAGATCGCTGACCTTTGCTTCCAGTGCAGCTTTGTCACTGATCTGGTTGTCTGACTTGGACTTGCTCATTCGGAGATCCGAGTCGGGGTTGGCGCGGCTGCGGGAGCGCTTCGCCAGCACGGTATCGCTGGGCCCCTGCCCAGCCAGAGGCAGCTTTTTGCTCTGGCTTAACCGGGAACGATCACGCATTCTTTCTCTGGAAGAACTTGACTCTTTATTTCCAGATGAAGTGCTACGCTTCGTTGTGGAACTCGTACCTATATGTTTTTTGAAAGTTAGGAACATTAATGTAAAATACGGGATCTGTAACAGAACACCGTGTATTTTGTATCACCAACACAGTGGCTGATTTTCCGAGTCACGCTAGTAAACACGTTTCAGAAACATTTAGAGTAAACATTTATACAATCTTAATCACAAAGCCCTGCAGTTATTTTGATGCACATCTTATCAATTGCTATGCTTTACCAGTATTTTGAAACTGAGTCAGATGTTAATGTTTAACATTTGCAAATTTCTTCTGTCTTCAAGAGGTTCTGATAAATTGTACAAAAACTGCAGCAGTGCTATTCTTACAAGTTCAAATTTGTCTCTTCTCAGTAGATTTAAATGCAAGCTTTAAAGTGATGAATTGCATATTCTAATTCCCAAAAAATAAAGTTAAGGGTTTTTTCTGTTTTCATCTCATTTCATAGAGATATTTCATCTCATTTCACGAGGATAGATTATTACTACTTTATTTCCAGATGCTTTACAACTTTGCAAGCATTACTGAATTCAAAACATAGCAATGTATGGCAAGACTTACTTCCATCCATACTGGTAACACACTAAATAATTTTACTTTCCTGAACAGTTTATGAAAGCTCCTTTACTTTATTTCTACAAAACAATACAGACTGTCCAAAATGTTGACTGTGACAAGTAATCACATCTTAGAGATTCAGGGCTTGTGGCATGGATTTTTTTTTTAGACGTATTATTTTAGACAAATCTATGATTCTCTATATTAATTATATTATCTAGTTTTATATAGTAATTCCATAATGAGTATTGAAAAAATAAAAATTAACACCCTCCAAAAAGGCATTTAGATTATTAGGCAAAGGAAAAGAGCACAGGAGATGTCCGATTTGATCATGGCCTTACTGACCACTTCATTAGGCAGACTGATTCTCAATACATAATAGGAAAATAAAAAGCCACTCAACTACCATCTTTAAGAATCAATATTTCCATTTACCTGCAATAGTTTTGGGTTTATTTTCCAGACTGTTCATGATCGTCCCTGAAGCTGATGATGCTGTTGATACACACGTGCTCTTCTTTGCCTTGACACCATTGGTCATTGTCACTCCACTACCACCAGCCATCCCTGCTAAGAGGTCATCATTACTCTTAGTCTGAAAGAAAGAGAAGCAGCAGCTTTAAGACAGCTGGCTGAGTAGTCTGCATAGCCAACATTTCTTCTGCGAAAGATTCCGTCAGTTTAAAAAGTACATATTTGACCAGTCATGTGTCTATGCAAGAATGCTGAAAAGTATAAATGCACCGCACTGTGCAGAGCTGGTAAGTTAAAACTGAACTTTTACATATGTTCTCATATGTAATGTACTGCTTACGTATGACTGACCATAGAAACAGACTCTTCTCTCCCCTAGATAAAATGATTAATTCTTCAATACCAAAGGAAACAAACAAACAAACAAAAAACATTAAGGAAAGCACAGTAACGCAATACAGTGTTACACTTCTCAATTTTGACTGAAAGTTTGCTTATGCATAAAAATGAAGACAATCTTAGGTAATTAAACCATCAAATACTAGGAAGTGAGTATAATGTCCTTCGACACAATATGCATTTTCAAGTGTTTTCTGGACACGATCAAATCAAACAACAACAACAACAACACAATCAATCCAACCTTCATAAAATACTCTTCCCAGCTCAAAATATTAAGCTATAAACCACTAGAGACTAGCACAGTATTCAGAGTGGGGTGGGAAAGCCACCCTAACCTTATATCTTTGCCTTGTTTTCATGCTCTTTACTCAGTGCTCTCAGAAACAGGATGTTTGTTTGATGGACTTTTTGTCTGACCATGTATGATCATTCTTGAAATTTCTGTTAGCCACAAAAGCTGCCTGCAATATGACGGGGCAGTAAGCACAGGAGGCTCAAGAACTTAATTTCCAAACAGACAATGAATCTTTCACAATAAAAGAAACTCTAGAAATACTACATTCTTAAGTATTAATTGGCAGGCTTCACAACTCTTCAAAATGCAATTTTCAAATGGCAAAACAATAAAATATGCTAAACATTTTTCCCATTATAAGGCCAAGAAAAATTAAAAGAGAACAGCTGTGTTAGCAGCATTCCTTAAGTAACTGTATTATTCAGCTGCGTAACACATTTGAAGTCTCAACCAGCATCTCAACTAAAAGGTAGTGCTTAGGAATTAACCAGTTACTTTACCTCATGACTCTTCAGTTCTGCAGGTTTGTAACTTCTAGCTCCCAGACATATTCATGTTAAAAACTATATGCCAGACATTATGAGTCTATACATTATGAATGAAGGTACACTTGCTTAATTAAAAGAAGAAAGTTGCCTCTCACTCCATTAGTTTCCATACAGTTTCTTTTTGCAAGCATGAATTTCAGAACAGTTAGGAACACTGATCACAACACTGTGGAAAGGGCAGGGGTAAGATTTGTGCCATTTACAAAGACAAGCAGCTCCAAAACAAAAGGGAGCTTGGGAACAGAACATGTTTGTTCTGCATGCAAATGGTAGATATACAGATAATTTAGAGAGAGAAACAGGTATTTGTAAGGGTAAAATCCTCTAGGACAAGAACGTTTTTATTAAATCATGCAGAGAATGGTACAGACTTCTAAAAAGGTTTATAAAAGGCTAGAAGGAAACACCCTAACATTCTGTGATTCTGTGATACTCTGAGGCACTAGTTTGATGTGCATCTAAGCCAGCTCTTCTGCTAAGAAAAAGCCACTGTTGTTCTGTCCTGCTCTTCTCTGTGTGCTCACATACTGTGCTGTGTAAACTGAAGCCTTTTCAAAGGGCTCTTGCCTCCCAGGAGCCAGATCAACTCCTTGATCTGCAATGTCATCCAGCCATGTAAAACAGCAGATGCAATGTAAGTCCCAATGAGAAAATAAATATGTTGGAGGGCTACAAACTCAACAAAGCCCACACTACTCATGTGGAGGGGAAGAGCTGAGCACAAACTGCTACTGCATGGCAACCCCCTGTTAACCTGTACACCAACAAGATTCTGTATCTATTCTAAACTAATTTTGTGGGCATGGGAGTATAAGGGGAGGGAAACAAGCCTGTGATGCAACTATCACCTAAACCAAGCTATTACAAGAAGGCATTGAAAAGTGATTTTCTGTTTCGCTACGGAATTGGATTCTGCCAATCAGCCTGCAAACCTGATAGTTCAAGAGGACTGTTAGCTGTCAGCATTTTTACCCTGTTGAAAGAGCAGGGAAATTAGATTAAGCTATTAGACACTTGTACTACAAGTACATGTTATCAAGCCAAATAGGTCAAGATGTGACTCAGCTTAAAAAAAAAAAAAGCTAAGTAAAATAAAAACTTTCTGACATTAGTCATCTCCAGTCCTTGCTGAACAAAGGAATTTAAGACAGCCATTCTTCCTCCAATTTACCCATAAACTATTTCTAGTCTAGGTTGGAAGGCACTGGCTCCTCTGCAGCCAGTTAGGAAACAGTTTCTCAAAACTGTAACACTACACTCTTGGCAAAGGAAATTAGCAAAGCTTTGGAAAAATTATAAACCAGCAGCTCTTTTTTCTTAGTGTTCCACAACGGCAACAATTCTTGACTGTAAAAATCAAAGTATTTTTGGAGTGTATACTTTTAATGGTAGCAAAATCAATGTCATATGTTTATTTAACAGCTTTTTCCTCAAGGAAGAACAGTTTCTCCCACTTACTGAGAACAATGCAATCCTGCTTAGCATTAAAACCCTTATATTAACATATGAAAAGATAGAAAATATCATAATTAGAAATGCTTAACTGGACCTATTTTCTGATTTTCTCTATAAAAAAACCTTTATAATTATGAGGGAAAACAGAATATGAATTGTATAACTTTCAGTGCAATGAAACTTGAATGATCACCTCTGCAATTCGTTCCATCTTAGTTTCTCAATGTATATCCTATTTACTGCACTGCAATCAAATCTCTTTATAAATATATCTAATTATTCCCTACCTGGGATTTTCTTTGATGCTTGCTGTTGTTGCATTTGAGTGCTTCAAACAAACTTCACAACAATCTATAATTAAGTGACTGCATTTTGCAAACAGAATATTGAAGCCTACACACATGAATACTTGAAAACACATTGTAATTTTTAATATTCAAATATTTGTCTCCAAGTCTTGGCTTTTCAGGACACTGGATTTTGTAATTAATTTGTATGAAGTACAGCTGCCATCTTATTACAGTTGTATCAGCATGATCACAAGCACGCCAGCTGAAGAAGTCAAAACCCAATTATCTTAAAAACAGGAACAAACTTATCTGCAGAGTACTTTTTGACAGAATAACAACTAGAAATGGCTGGCAGTTAACCTTCTGCTGTAATAATGGGGGTGGGGGTACTAAACATTTACAAAAGTCCTGGGCAATGTGGGAGCCAAAAACATACAAAGAAGTAACCAACAAAAGGGCATTCTGAAGAAGACAGACAAACTGACCTCTGGAAGAGTATTCAGCTGTACACAAGGGTGGATCTCACAGTTTCTTCCTGTGCTCACTGTCCACACACTTTGAAAATGCCACAAAAAAGGTGGAACAATGTAGAGTGAAAGACGCCCACCCAAAGCTGAACACCAGCCTAGGGTTGTACCATGAAGGGGATAGGGAAAAAACCATACTATAACTACAAGGCAATTTTCCATTTTGCAATATTATTACTGACTGAATTAAGATTGGTATAGTACTGTGTTTACCTCTCCTTAATAGTGGCCTTTCATTCAATATCCAACTCAAAGTTTTCTGTATCTATACACACATTTAAAGTTTGAGGACCAAATTAGTGAGCTATTCCAATTACAGTTATTTAATGCCAGCTTTTTTTGTTGTTAAGGAATATTAAATGAAATTCATATTACACACACCATTTCATCACGTCTAAGAGATCCTACAACTACTATGAGGAAAACATAACAAACGCTTTATCAACAAGATCAAATATAAAATGGTACAAAAAATTATCTTAAAAATAATACAACTTGTTATTGATACTTCTTTCAAGCCTGTAATTATAAATGTGATTTGGCAGCATCAGTAAGTCAAGAAACCATGAATGACTTTGTTGTATAAGTATGGAACACTTCAAGAAGATTCATTATTATTAAGTCACACAGCTGACACAACAGCAGCTTAACAAGTAGATGACCTTTAACTGTATGAGTAAGTCTGGCTGTAAAATAAAGCTGAGATAAGTCTTCATACTTAAAAGAAGAATTTTTAAACATACAATTGTCCTTATTTATAAACCTACACCCAGAGTCAGCAGTGTTACTAATGTAAGTAAAATTGTGAAAGCACACTGGGTCAAATTTCTTCAGTGTTAGATCATCCTCATCCTCTCATCTCACTGAGAGGTATGACATAAGAAACCTGATAAGTAAACTATAAAGGACTTTTGTTTCCATATTCTTTAAGTGGTTTCTAGAAATACAAAATAAGTCCAGTCAACAAGCATTAAAAGATTATTTAAAGTTAAGAAAAACTGCAAGATATGCTGGGTGACAGAGGAAAGGGGGGGCATGGGGAAAAAAGCTAGCTGAAACCTGGCTTGCAAGTTCATCAGCAAAATCATTAACCATTCTTTCATAAAAGAAAAGCAAGAAAAAGAGAGAAAGGGAACACACCCTTTGACTTCAGTAATCCTGCATAGCTACTAGAGAGAGACCTCAGCCCTTACCACCTCTTTAATTTTAGGTCTTTATTTGCCGTTTATTTAGATGGCCTACCTGGTTCAGGTCCCCGCTGCAGACACCAGCCCTTCTCCGTGTGCTGCTCATGTGCCCGAGGGCGGCGGCGGCAGCAGCGCCACAGCTCGAGTGCTGGGCTGTAGAGAGGCAAAGGAGGTGGGTCCAGCCATGCGTCCATGCCAGGAGAAGGAGGCAGACCAGGCAGGCTCACAGCAGCCCTCCAACCCAAATGTCTTTGCTCCCAGGTGAAAACTTCACACCAGCACACCTCAGAATGGTTTGGGTTTTTTTTGTTGTTGTTGTTGAAAACCATATGCTCCTAAATCTACTGCACTGTTTTGCTAATATAAAGAGAAAACCTCTACCTTTGAACTTGTTCTAAGAGCAAGAATCAACTTGTGAAATTTAGCTCAAGCAGCACTTCACACAAAGCAAAGGCCAAAACAGCTCGATGAATGCAGCTGCACTGACCTGACACAGACCACTGATAGCAGAAAGTTTCTCATGTTAGATACCTCATTAGTCCTTTTTCAGAATTAGTAAATAACTCTTATCAAATCCCATTAGTCACAGACACACCATTCAAGCATAACACACGACACTACTAATAACATCCATCAGAATGCAGCTTCCACACTGCTCCTTTTGCAGAGCAGGCAAGTTCCGCAAAGTTATTGCTTTCCATCACATCAAACACTGAAATATGAAAAATAACAGCACGAATGCCACACAGGGTCCTATCACCCTGCCCAGCACTGTGTAACTATACAAATTGCCTGCAGTTATCCACACAACAAACCTCTAGTCTAAGCTACATTAAAGATATGCCTTAAAATTTTACTCTTTTTAAAGCTGCATTGTAAAAAATACAAAAGAAACATAACATTCTACTGGTTGTTACCTTCAAAAGAGAAGCTGATGTCCCAGTTTTGGAGAGTTTTGTTACTGCAGACACTGAGGAGCCGTTTTCTGGTTTGGCTTTTTCAGTTGTTTGAGTTTTATTTACTCCAGGCACTTTGGGCACTGAGCCAACACTCCTGCTTGCTTTCTTCATTCTGGGCTGTCTGTTTATGATGCATTTACAAACAAATCTACAAGCAGAAAGAAAGAAATTTTAAATTTAAAATACAAGTGAAAAGCAATGCCTTTTTTTATAATGCTCTGTTTAAGACCAGAAGTCCAGAACAGCAGTAAAGACCACAAATTAGAGCCAAACAGAACACATGTGACTGACCAATGGTTTTTGCTTTTTTAAAAAGGAATTTCTACCAAGAACTAAGTGCTTCCTACAGCGCCATTCCAAATTATAATTTTTTTTTCAGTTCTTTCTAAAAATGGCACTGAACTGAGGATATTTTATAAGTGACCCATGTTGCCGAGTTCACTCGTTAGCTAGCAAAAGAAAGGCTTATTAGGGCAGCAACGTTCTTTATTGCTGACTGTGGGAAGGAAAATACTGTGGGAGTATTCTGGCAATAGCCTGACTACCAGCAACACTGGATCTGAGAAAAGATTACCACCAGCTTGGTAACTGAAGTAGAGAGAGTAACAGCAGCTGCAGAAGAAAAAAAAAAAGTATTTTATAAAAATTAAAAGAAGTTGAAAAATTCAGATTCCCTGAAACTACTTATTAAAAAAAATCACATTAATGAACACATGGGATTTTACAAAATCTAACACTAATCACATGATAAAGAGGATTAAGAAACCAAAAGTAACCCACCACACTTCTGTCAGGACACTTCAGCGTCTTTTTCTTGCCTTCAGGTTTTCCCAAACAGCAGACAAGTGTCAACACTGTCATTCCAACCATGAGCAAGCAAACAAAACCCCAGAAAACAAAGCTGACTTTACTCAAACCAGGAGCAGCTGCTGCAGACCTGAACACTGCACTTATCACAAGAACTGCTAATTCTGTAAGACAACCTAAGAAAGGTAGGCCAGCCAACAGCCATAATTTGAAGCATGGACTACCAGAAAGAGTAGATGCACTGGGATCTTCTCCCCTCTTGCAAGAGGCAGATAGTTGGCAGCTGTTTTCTTCATCTCCCCTGAGTCAGAAGACGCAGAGCAGAAGATTAAGGGGGAGAAACTTCCACTCCCATTTCAGTCTTACATATTCTGGGTGGAAGTAAGTGATCAGGTTTATCTGAGCCCAGTATCCTGCAGCTGATTAGAAACTTGAAAATCACCTAGTTGTTTCCATCCCTTGAAAAGTGCAGCATTTCAAAGGTACAAAAAGCAGACTGATTACTGAGTGCATGAGATGTACAGCAAAACCACAGCAATCAGGGGTACTAATTAATTTCAGCTAACACCATTAACACCACACACTTACACGCACTCCTTCCTCCACATCACCACTTCAGCTGCACACAAGTATATTTGAAGTATGACTTTGATAAAAGTCAGTAAAACTCCAGGAGTTTTGCCTCCTCAGACCCCTAAATGCTGTTAACAGAAGCAACAGGAAGTTTCATTTTAAGACACCAAAAATATTTGTTTATAGCTTCCAGATTCCGTTTAGCTTGGAAAGCTGGCATGAACGAACACAGAAAACTTTGTTTGCTGTTGCAGTTTCATCATCAGAATGTCAAAAATGCACTGGTCCTGCCATATGGCTACTAATAATCAGAACGCCTTCACAGAAGATTAAATAACTGAGAGATAATTTGAAATTAGACACTCCTCAGAAAACCAAAACCCAAACCAGAGGAGCGCCATGATGATATGTTTGCTATACACATAATTCTAAGTGGAACAACTGCCTACTAGATTCCAGAAGCAGATGCTAATGTTTACAGGTAGAACCAAGTTGCCACACTTAGATTTCTTGCCTTTTTCATGTTGGAGTTCAACACTAACTTGTGCTTTTGATCTTATTCAACTGAAAACTAAAACTAAAAAGACCAAAGAGGACAGAGGTGTTTAGTAAAACTGGCAACATTACTATTGAATGATATTTTTTATGTTCTACAGGCTACATAAAAAAAGTTGTCCATAGCATGCTTGAGAAATAATCAAACAAATTTCACTGCACACTTTGTTGTGAAGCTGACTACACTTAAAAAATTACCTCAAAGAAAAAACTACACTCTTACAACAAACCTAGTAAATAAACCCCATGGCTTTTTGACAGCTCACAGAGCTAGTAAACCAGTCCTCTAATGCAGGTTAGGGTACTGGCAATGATAGGACTATCACACATCTGGGCAGAGCTTGACAACCCTGCCTGGCAATCCCAACAAAGCAGCAGGTCCAGCTGGCCTGCAGACACCCAGCAGTGGCCACTTGCAACACACATTCATCAAGTCTGCAGAGCACACTCATCAGGTCTGGCACAGCATGCCAGGCACACGCTGCACACGTGATCCTCTCACACAGTCCAAGATCGATAGGGCTGGGACCCACTGGATGTGTAATCTCAAAAACAAATGCAGACTAACAGTAGCTTTTACAGTACAAACCTTCATGCTCTTATGAACACACCACAGAAGTCAGCAATGACAAAAGACTGTGCAAAGTCAAATGTTTTGCATCCATAATGGATCTGTAAAAAATACATGTTTTAGAAATGTTCCTGAAAACATGTAACAGTATTTCCTCCAAGAACAGAAACCCTATAGGAAAGTGATGTAAATAAGTGAAACTAAACAAAGTAACTAAGTATAATCCTCACACTTCATCACAGCATTACTTCAAAATGCCTACACATTCCACATTGAAAGCACTACTTGTGATTTACCGAAACTCAAAGGTAGAACCACCTTTCCAGAAACTTCACAGACAGGGTTAGGTACCACTGTTGCTGGTTTTCTGCCAGAGAAAGCTCTAGTACTTACCTTCCTACTGAAAAGAGACTGCGTAATTATAATTTCAAACCAAAAAAAAGATACAAATGAGTCCAGCAACTTAAAACAAGGACAAGACATTAATTAGCATTACAGGTGCAAAAACCAGCTGCTCACTCAGGTTCCTAAAGTGAATTTATGACCTCTCAGCACCAGTTTCTCCCCTCCTGCCTTCCCCAAGATGGAAAAGGATGGGATTTCAGCACTGAAAGCCGAAGACATCAACATTGTTGAATAGTAAGTGGAAAAAGCCCTACTGCACACAGCTTCTCAAAAGGCAGATACCACAGATAAAGACTACCTTTATGCTTCTAAAGACCACCACAGAATTAGAATCCAACAACAAATTTGTCTCTGCACAACACTAAATTAAAAAAACTCACTAGCCAAATCAAACTTTCTGAAGATTAAGACAGAACACTAATAATCCAAATAAGAGCTAAAACATTATTTCACTATTGTTTTAAAAAGCAAACACTGCATCTGAAGCTGTAGTTTATATTTTACCCAGGCAGAAAGAGTGAAGTAAAAGCTCAGCACTAAAAAGTTTCAGTGGAATTAAGAACTGAAACTCACAAGACACTCAAGACAGACTTTTGGAGGTCCCTCATATCGCACTACTAAACAAAATACTCATCTATCAACAGACACAAGATGCTACTGGAAAATAATTGATTAATGCTAGCACTACAGTATCAATTACAAAATTAATCAGGATGGGAAATCCCCAAAACAAGCTCAAAACAGCAGATAGAAAGACTGCATTCCCAGACTGAAAGGGAACAGTTTGCTCTAACCTGTACCCCTTCCCCGCCGTCTCTCTCTCCAGGGCACACATAGCACAGGAAACAATCTCATTCAGGAGCGGCTCTCCCTGCTCTGGTGGAGGCATGTGAAACCAGTCCTGCATTTTATACCAACTGCAAATACAACACCATAAATAATAATTTAAAAGTGTTTTGCCCAATAGCATGGCTCTGCTCTTTACTGTAAACTGATATGATACATCCACCCAGCCAACGTGAAATGCTTTCAGGGCTACTCTTACACACTCTTTAGAAACCTGAAAGCTGAAGGGGTGGTTGTGTATTTTTTTCTACTGTGATTATTTTAATCTCATCCATTATTTAATATGCTTATTTATGCTAATATTGTTGTCACAAAAGTAAGACTGAATTACAAGGGTACAAAAAACAGTTTCCTGTGCCTGTAAGGTGAGAGGGGGTTGAGCAGCAAAGAAGGTATTAACTTTTTGCTTTTGGTTGAAAACACAAAGTTATCAAGAGGTATTAAGCAGTTTTACCTATTAAAAAAATGTAAATAAAGAAAATTATAAATAACCTTACCTCTTTTAAGATTTTCAGAAAAACAGAAACAACCAGTCATTCAAATCTGAAGATCCCAAGCATTTTTTAAACATTAAATAGCCAAGATACAGAGGAAAACAGAAATATTCACACCCAAGAGCAATGGAGTCAGTACACTTTCACTCTCTATTTGTACAAGTTCTTTGGCTTTGATGTATTTAGGCTGACAACTTGTGCCCAAATAATAAAGGAATGACATTTTTGTGCCACTTACACAGTCCCAAAAGGTAGAATTGTGAAGAAAAAAATTATGAAATACATCCCCTCTGGCCCCCCTGAGGGTCAGAACCTCCCCAAGTCTCTGCAGGCACATCCAGCAGTCACCAACACCTTAATGTCCAGGGTTCAAAACAAGCTACATACTAAGAGACAGAGTTCTCTACAGGTATTATGTCCACAGCTCAAACGGTCAGCAACTGTACAAGTTGCACTCAAGAACAATGTCTCTTGTTTAATAGTTCCAAAACCATAATCCATTAACCAGTGGATTCCAGAAGCCCAGAGCAAACAGTGCATTCATGATAAGATATCCTTTTTAGTGACTTGCGAGTTTGCTGATGCTAGAGGGTTATTTAAGATACCAAGGATAAGAGGAAGCTGCATGGAACCACAGAAGGCCCTTATGAGATTAACTGAACAATAAAACCAGCAAATAAAATTAAATTTAGGTAAACAAAGAGCAATTTATCTCTTGGGGAAAAGCAACCTCAGCTCACACACACATATACATATAGATGTGCTCTCAACTCATCAATATTGCTCAGCAAGACTTCAGTGTTTTGATTCCCAGCTTCACTAAATTATCAGTACAGTGTTTGAAATAAGGCAAAAAAAGGAAAGCAGTTCCAGGAATTATTAAAGAAAGG